TTAATACATTTGTGATATATACTTTGTACTTTATAGCACTTCTTCACATCATTTAAAACAGAGTAGAAAATCTTCTGATCCACAAATAGAAGAACAATTAGCAGTATTCGGAATGTCTGCTGAAGCCATGCAGCAAGAAAATGCTGCAATAGAAAAAAACAAAGCGCACATAAAACCATTCTGCGAATTTGCTGAAAGTATGCTGGCCAAAATGAGCTGCAAAAATCAACGAACAGCGATGAAAAGAATTCAGGAGATTCTTTTCGAGATTTTGTGCTGTGAACGACTAAGAGAATCAGTAAATTTATAAATTCAATAGATCAATGTAGTTTATTTATGTAATTAATTTTGTTATATTAATAAATTTTTTGAAGATCTATATTTGTTACAACATCTTTAAAACACAAGAGCAATAAATATAATTCTTTATTGAACCTTAGCAATAAAAATAATTCTTCATTGAACCTTAGCAATAAAAATAATTCTTCATTGAACCTTAGCAATAAAAAAATGGTAGTAATTGCCTATGGCAAGACCCAGTGGTACATAGATAGTCTCCTAATTTATTCCTTAATTCTCTTGCTTCGGTAGAGTACATGTTGCTTGCTACCTGTGTGCAACTTCTCATTTGATCTCCACTTCCTTGGGTTAAGGTTGCCATGTTCATCTTCTGAATCACAATCTCCGGCATTAATGTAACAAGCTGACTCTCTTGTAAGAAATTTGTGCAAGACGCAAGCTGTCAATACCATCTTTGTCGTGTTATCTTCACTGTATGTTAATGGTCGTTTGAAGATGCGAAAACGAGAATGGGGGGATTCATATTGCTTCGTCAATTTAAAAAACAAATGTATTTGTTGTATGGAAAGAGCGTCCCGGTGCCGAAAAAACGTAATGTCGAATGTCATTTCCTGACAATTCATGCTACTTTTAATACAAACTATCCACTTAAATCTGAAATAAGAAAGAAGAAAATAGATCAGCTAAAATCATTGTATCAACTCTAAAGAAATTAGTCGACAAATATCCCGAGAAATACTATTACTATTGCCGAACGCCTTAGTGGCCATAAATACCACAAGCAAAACTCCTCAAAGAAGTCTCCATTTTATTTGCTAAATGGATATGATCCCCATCTTCCCCGTGAACTTCACATTGCAAGTTTTATTGACAATACTCCTTGTGAAGATCAGTTAGACCTTTTAACCTTAGCCAAGGCCGAAGCCGCTAATAATGTGTACGAAACACACTTGGATAACAAAAGGAGATTTGATCTCCATCACCAACCGCATTCGTTTAAACCTGGAGATCTCGTATTATACAACTGGCCGAAACAACACGATCATAAACTCTCACTAATGTTCAAAGAACCATTGAAGTTTGTTCGTTCAGTCGAGGCCGTATGCTACGAGATCACATCGCTCACAGCACAAAGTTTCAGAAAGTCGTTCATTTGCAACATCTTTGTCCATATTACATGCGAGATGCGCCAGTTCTCGGAGAAGACGTAAGCTCCCAGGAAGAAGTACCGGAAGAGGGAGGTCAGGATCAGGTAGATAATCGCTCAAATATACTTGGCCAAGATGTTCAAGGATCAAGTAGACATAAGATGCTAGATTACCCAGGTATGCTCATACGCTTCCGTCACGTGTGCAGCGATATTGGTTCTTTTGACGTCATATTCGAAGATGGCAGCTTGCTAGTGTAGCATCGTGTGTTCAGCATAGCATAGAAAATTAACAAAATGCCGTGTTGTTTGGCTCCAAACTGTGCGAATAGTGATGGAAAAGGTTACAGAATGTTTCGATTCCCTGCCGATCAAAGCAGAAGAAAGGTTTCAGTCGTTAAAACAAGACGGGATAAGTGGCAACCAACATCGTCTTCTCGTTTGTGTGAGGTAAGCACTTAAATTTAACGTATTAACAGATTTGGTTTTTTTAATTGGACTCCAGTTTAGCAATTATATTAAAATGGATATAGATGAAGTTCAGAAGTTAAGAATATTTTTCTTAACTTCTGAAAATAAGCTGTTTATTTCTTAATTAATACACACTAGTATCTGCAAGTATTAACTCATAACCAAAGATTTGTCAGACCATGTTTACTCTAAAGATGTTTCATAAAGCTGGAGAATTTTTATCTATGAAAAGTTTGATATTTTAATGTTTTGAGAGGAATGATATTTTAGTTAAGGCATTTTAATTTCTTATTTTATTATCAATTTAATGTAGATCCATTTTACCGAGGAGCAGTTTGAAAATAATAGTGTGGATAAGAAGAGAAAGTTAAGACCTGATGCTGTTCCAACACTATTTGGAAATAACAATCAAAATCAAGTATCAGGTGTTAAAAGTGTGTGTTTCTGTTCTTAGCATGAAACTTAAAAATAGGTTTTTGTTAATTTTTCAAACATAACTTTTAAATAATCTTTTGTCTGCTGCATGATTCATGCAATGTCCTCATACTAATATACAACATATAATCAACTTTTAAATACAATTTATGATTGTGAATTTGTCTCTTTAATCCGATCAAATCAGGTGTAGTATAAAAAATTAATTGTGATTGCCTAAAACCAAAAAATTGTATACTTGAAACAAGTAGAACTTTAGAATTAAGAATTAAAGAACAGGAAGCAGCAATTAGACTAAAACATAATAATTCTTTGTGGTTCGACCATATAAAAAATAGTAAATGTAAAATAGATAGAAATAACATTAAAATAATTCACTTAGAAAAAGATATGTATAAACGCAAATTTAAAGAACATATAGAGATTATAAAATGTAAAGATGATTTAATAAACATTTCAAATGGTATGCAAATAGATCAAATGTGGTATAATATAATAGAGGGCGCTAATAGATAAATTGGTTTGTAATGTNATAATATAATAGAGGGCGCTAATAAATAAATTTGTTTTGTAATGTCTTGTGACATAAAATAATACGTGAAATACATTGTAAAAGTGTGAATGTATTTTCTTGAAAATGTGTTAATAGTAATATACCACGTGTTATTAACCTGTAAAACGATCATTATTGCTGCAACATTTTATTGTAGAACATACACATTTTTTAAAAGTTAAATGTTGTAATTATACAAGTTTTTATGAACAATTGTTAAAAGTGAGTATCATGTTATATTTTAGCTGTTAAAAAATATATAATGTTATAAAGTAATAATTATAAATATATTGATATATCAGGTTCACCGTATTAATGTGAAAATGTATTTGAAAAGTTTTTAAATGGCTGTATTTTAAACTTTCCAACGTTACCAGTTATACACCGGAGGTTTTTAAAAAACAGAACCTTAGGTAACGTATAAGTTAACAATAGTTTTATGTCAGTAAATATAATCTATACGTGAAAAATTTGTCACCTCATTAATTGTATATAACTTTTTTGTTTTTAAGTAATTGTATATAATTTTTTAAATAATTCATAGTTTGAACTGAAGAGGGACTTAAAATGGCTAAATTCTAGGACTGAATGACGCGATTGTGACCCCCCCCAAAATGTAGAGCACCCCTGTGCGAGCATAAAAGTCAAAAGGACCATGCCCGTACGGGCGACCCTTCGCGAGATATAGGCCTCCAAAGATGCGCCTATGTCATATCCGGTCACGTGACTCTGCGCCCAAAAGGGACAACGTTACGTGGCCAAAATTTTTTTTCGGTTTTCCCCATCTCAGTGTTGCAAAAAAAAGCGTGCTCTCCCCCTTCCTTGGCCCGCAGCACGCGTCTCCCCCTCCTGTCCACGCCGCCACCGCTGTCTCCCCCTCGCACGCGGCCAGCGGCCGCAGTCTCCCGCCTGAAGCCTTCTGGAGTCGCCATCTGTTGCCTGTAAATACAAATATCTATTACTATTACACCTGATACCTCAGCCGGGGATCGAACCCCAGTCCCAGCCGCCGCCACTCCACTTCTCTCCTCACCGGCCCGCCAGGTCGCTCTGCCAGAAACACTTCAAAACTCATAATTAAGCCATGCAAGTCCGAGGAGCCATTGCGCATGACGGGGCCTCCAGGCGGCCACCCCTCGAACGCACAGATGCAGCGCGCTGGGACACCTGGCCCCTCGACCGTGAAGTGAGAGCGGGCCTGGTGCGTGGCCAATGGACGGTCGCCTGTGGATCACGTGTCCGCGACACCGCCCCCCGATGTTTTATAAGCGTTCAGGCCGGCTTCAAGCCTTTGTACACAGTCGTAGTCTGCAAACAAAACGAAAAAATATGCCTTTCAATTGCGACGTTTCAGCGTCTCCTGTTGTGGATCCCGCCGACATATTTGACAACATGACGGCTTATGAATTTCTTCGCTACCTCCCCACCGAAGAGGCCGGCCAGAAGTTTTGCCATCTTGTGGGGCTCGTTCCGCATCCGGACCTAACCGGTTCCATGCCACCATGCCCCAAGTGCGGAGGTAAGCATCGCTTGATTCCTGCATGTACAGGATCAGCGAATAGTTGCGGCGCAGCGTTGCGCTACTTTTCTAACCGATTTCAATGAGTTTGTCTTCATTTTCAGGCAATATGCACAAGGAACCGGCTCCACCTGACAGGTTCGGATTCGTCTACAGCTGCGATAAACTGAAAGAAAAGAAAACAGTTAGAAGACGGACAGGTGGCACCGTCAGGAGGGCCGTGTGCACCAGTAGCCTGTCTTGTACCCACAACACATTTTTCGAAAGAGCGAAGCTATCAGCCACAGAAGTATGATATTGCAGTCGATCGCGAAAACCTCTCAGAAAAGCGGCAATTTCCCAGTCCGGTATTTTTCAGTTAGCATTCTCGCCGTTACCTACTGTATACCAACGTTAGCAGTCGAAGTAATCACTGGAAAATTATACTTTTTACTTAGTTGCGATTTATTTACAGTGATGTTTATGTAAAACATGCGAAAGAACAGTTCGAATTTGCTAAAAATGATAGTAGTAACGGGTGCCCTGCTAACCAGAAAGTACAGTATTTCCTGTAGCACGCTACGTTCCATGTTTCTGTGATTTCTGTTATTTCACTGTGCCGATTACGATGACGTGAGTGTACGAGATATGTTTTCTCTGTATTTTACAGGTGCTGAAGTTGATATATTCGTGGGTCAAGCAGGAGCCGGTCACCATCGCCGCGGAGCAATGACGCGTGGCCCTCGCGACAGCAGTAGATTAGTACAACTTCTGCCGGGAAGTTGCGGAGGTTTTCGTCTCCAAAATCAGGACATACAGCTAGGCGGTGAAGGGATGCATGTCGCGGTAAGGATCGGCCCACGTTTGTGACTTTGCCGAAAAGTCTATGTCTGTATTCATGTGTTTTCGTTTTCAGATCAATGAGACCTTCACCCGGAGGCGAAAATACAACCGCGGCCGCGTACGTGCAGGCACGCAAATTACAATATTTGGTGCCTACTGTCGGGAAACGAGAGAGCTGATGTACTGGCATGTAAGTGGTAGCGAAACATTATTTCCTGTTATTTTTTTGTTATTGAGGAAGGTTTCCTGTACGGCAGACATTGGCGCATTTTAGACGAATCATGTTATACTTTCTCGTATTCTTTTAGGTGGACAACAAAAGCAGACGAGTTCTGTGGAGCCACATGCTCAGATACATCGCTCCAAATTCCATCATTGTTTCCGACAGCGCGGCCCAGTATCGCGGTTGTATGGCTTTGGGCTTCTCTAGACATAAGATCGTCAATCACAGCCAGCGGGGCCCCGGGAGGTGAGAAGGATGAAACGGTGCCATGTGTTAATTGAAAGAAATAGACGGGCGTTATGGAGAAGCAACATTTTTATTTTTTCTTGTATTTGCAGATTCGTCAACACGGATGATCCCGAGGCCCACACTCAAAACATCGAGTGTAGACATCGCTGGCTGAAGAAGTCCATCAAGTCGCTCCGCACGGACAGGAGCCTGCAAAGTTACACCTGCACTTACGTGTACAGGACGCGGTTCAGCGGTACAGTGAGTAGTGCAGCTTGTATATAGTGCGCGTGACCAAAGGATACTTGTTTGCGGATGTGAAACCTGGATTATGTGATTTTTCAGACAACATCGGGCGACACCACCACCTTCGTCATTGACCCCCAGGACCTAGCCGAGGCGGGGACCAGCGGCCTCACCTACGCAACATCAGGAACAGGCTAGGCGTCGCCAGGTAGCGAGCGGATGTCGTGGGAGATGCAAGAGGAGACGCTGTTGAAGGTGAGTGAAGGATCTGTTTTCTTTCTGTCGTCAGTTAGTGTGTCAGAGATAGGGAAATAGAAGCGTGCTCGGTTTAGAAGGGAGCAGGATCTGTTTTCTTTCCGTCGTCAGATGGAATGTGATAGAGATAGCGAAATAGAAGCGCGCTCGGTATAGAGCGGCGGAGAAAGCGTTGCCGAATTAGCGCTAATAATCGGGCTTTTCTTTGGTCTTTGTCAATGGAAGTGTCGTTAGAATACGGCTTGCTGCCTGTTAGAGACGCGATAGGCTTAGCAGAGAAAGAGCGAGCAAGGCGCGACTCCCAATGGCGCTCCCCGGAAGTGGCGGTCGAAAGGTGTCGATCCTCGTGTTTAGGGAGGTTTTGGGAGTGTCTAGTAGGTTCTAAAAAACGGCAAAAAATGCCATAGTTTCGAGATTTAGTTCCGAAAATTTTCACTTTTGAACTTTACCCCATTTTTGAGGGTCTCAAATTTTCCACATAGTCATTTTTAGGGGGCCTATATCTCGCAAAGGGTCGCTCGTACGGGCATAGTTCCTTTGACTTTTTTGTTCCTATTGATATGCTCTACAGCTCTGTTAAAGTCCCAACTGCGTCATTCAGTCCTAGAATTGTGCCCTTAAAATACAAATAAGTCCGAAATGCATTTGTCTAACCAATAAAAAAAGTACCTAGCCTGAAAGCTGTATATGATAGTCTACCGAACTGATTTGATTGGATTAAAGAGACAAATTCACAATGAAATAGCAGCTACCATAAGTGATATCAATTTATGCTTGTTTATCAATCCAGGTCTGTGAAGAAAGCAGAATAACAGTAGGAGTGGAAGACATTAAAACAAAAGAAGAGTCATGTACAGTCGAAAAGCCATTTACACCATGGCCATCAAAACTAACAGTTCTAACTTGCAAGAACAATACTATAGATAATAGTCTTCATATATCAAAAAAAAATATTCCTAACTGTGATGATGTACATCCACCAACTAACTTGGACCAAACAGGTATGCACTGTAGCATGTAACTAAACACTCAAATTGTAACTTAATAACTAATATATTTTTGTTTTCTTTAGATAATTTTATCGATGTAGCAAAAAACAGTTTTACAACTGATGCACATAGAAAGCTACAACAGCACATATGGAGACTAGAGAAAAAAGTTCAAATGTTGAAACAAAAAAACTTGAATTTTCAACTTAATCTAGAAAAACTGTTCAATGAAGATCAGTTGAAGCATTTAGAACATGGCAAAAATGGTAAAACTGTTTGGAGTATAGACATTTTACTGTCTGCATTTAGAGATCGTTTTGCCCTTAAAGTACATTGATACCTCTATCTAAAAAGCACTGGATATCCACTACCTAGTATTTCAACTTTAAATAAAAAACTACATGGCCTAAATTTTTTTCCTAAAATTTTAACTTGTTTGTGGCCATATTTAAAACAAAAAGTGTCATTGATGAAACCTGTTAAAAAAATCTGTGCAATATCTTTTGATGAAATGGAAGTTCAGGAGGCACTAGCTTATAGTAAACAGTATAAGTCTTTTCTTGGGCTAGTAACTCTTGGGAACACTTCTGTAAAAGCAAATCATTTATTAGTGTTCCTCATCAGAGGCCTCTCAACATCTTGAAAACATATTATTACCTACCGTGCAACTGCATCTTCAATAAAAGGTGAAGATATTAAGAATTTTTTGTTTCATGTAAATGAACACTTGAAAGCTATTGGCTTAAATGTGGTAGCCGTCTAGCATAAGTATCAATAGTATTGCATAGTCTAAGTAATAAATACAAAGGTAAAAATAATCGGACGACCATGTGTAAAACCCACGTACCAACCGTCGAGGATTTTTTGGAGTGCATTGAGGCGGCTCAAAATTCTCTCGATTCCAGCCGGAATCTTAAAAAAGTGTCACGATTGTATCAGAGACAACCTTCAGAAAGCCGCGGACATGTTCCTAGTACTTTCCGTCACTTACAACAACCTCAAATGGCAAAATAAGCAAGAGTTGATAACCCTACCTGCCCGGACTCAACGTCCACCCACCGCCCCAAATACAGGAAAGTCTTACGCTGACATTTTGAAGCTCTGACCCCACCTCGAAACGATAAGGTGGTATTAGTATATAATACTGAAGAAGGCAAGAGTATTCAAGATAAAATGGAAAGTCTGACATCGAGCATAGACCTCACCAAGTTTAAGGTGGGGTAAAATCACATAGACCCATCAAAGATGGTGTTTTAATAAATTGTAATACTACTGAAGGGGCAAAGAGACTCGTAGAATGTCTTAGCAAGAGGGGCGACGTGCGGGTCAGGTCCCCAGGGCTAAAGGGCCCCCGCATCATCATACCGAAAGTCGGCTGGGGCACAGATGAGGGCTCAATATTGAAATTCATCGAAAGTCAACACGCCGACCAACTAGAAGACATTCGAAAACACATTCAAAACGTCTTTTTCATCGGTAAAGAGAACCACGGATTATTTTTATTTAATAAACATTTTAGGTTTATATAGAGAAGTCATAATTCTTTTTTCTTTCAATTTTACACTCTGTGATTATAAAATATATTACTGTTAATTAGAAAAAATAACCTAGTTAAAAAGTTTTAAGAATTTTCTTTTGTTAATGTGCCATACTGTAAGGGACTGTGAGGGTCAGGGAATTTAAAACAAATTTAAGTGGGAATCCTGTACATATTTCATACTGTTTTAAATTTTATAGATTTACATACTAACTTTTGCATTATTTTTTTCAGATTTTGCTATCTATGCTGCCACAGGAACCAGCAAGGAGAAAAGCACGAATTCCTAAGGAAACATCTGTTTTATTTTCTCTGTGGTTTATGGGGAACCAGGAGAGCTACCGTGGTGTATGTGACCGCTTCGGGTTAGGATTTGCTAGTGGCCACAGAGAATTTACAAAATTCTGTACATCAATCTGTGCCTTGTCAAACTCAATCATTAAGATGCCACAGGGTTTTGAGATTGAGAGAATAAGACAAGGATTTCAGAAACTTAGAGTGAAACCATTTCCAGGAACAATCGGTTGCATCGATGGCACTCATATTGCCTTTTCTGTGAGTAAAGAAGAAAAAAATGATCATATAAATAGAAAAGGTTATCCTAGTGTAGTCCTACAGGCTGTATGTGATCATGAGTTAAAATTTTTGGATGTTTATGCAGGTTGGCCAGGCTCTGCAAATGATGCTAGAGTTTTTAGGAACAGTCCATTATTTAAAAATATGGAAGAGAAAGAGGATTTTATACCTTCAGACTGCCATATTCTTGGTGACTGTGCCTACCCATTAAATAATAAAATAATGACACCATATAGAAACAATGGCCATTTAACAAGAAAGCAGAAGTTATTCAATACAATTCTGAGTTCTACACGAGTCGTAATAGAACAAGCTTTTGCACATCTGTTTGGACGATTTCGGAAGCTAATTTATATCTATGTACGAAGAAGGGAATTTGTTCCAGATGTGATTGTAGCTGCCTGTGTTCTACATAACCTATGTATTATGCATAATGATATTACACCTGGTATATATGATCAACTGGATTTACTTTCTTGCCACAGTACAGAACAGTTTGATGCAGGTATTAATAAAAATGTCAGTGGGGCACATAAAAGGGATCAAATTGCAGATTACCTTTTTAATTTAGAGTGTGCATAACATCTTTATACTGCAAGTCATGACAAAAATAATAATCTTATTTATCTGAATAAATATAAACTATAACAATTGTTATAAAACATTTAATCCATTTTTTGGTTAAATTGTTTTAAGAATTAGCTAAATTTTTGTGTATTGATTTATTAATAACACTTATGATCTACTTGCAGTAAATTAAATTTGCATTATTCTCTTAAGAAAAAAATGCACAAATAATTCATATCAATATTAGTTTTAAGCAAAAACACATTGCAAATAAAAATTGTATTAACTTGAATTATTACAAAATGTACCAAAAACAAATTCAACTAGTTTTTCCAAAGCCTGTATTTTCCTAGTCTCCAATTCCTTATGTTCCTGCCATCTTTCATCTTCCGTTTTCTCTCTCTCCTCTCTCTTCGTATCCCTGCGTTTCATATCTTCAACATACCACAATGGTGGCTCATTCCAACTTCTTTTTCTATTTTTAATTAATTCACTCTCATCTTTTTTTTTCAGAATAGCTGTACAATCATTTTCTTTATTCAACTGTGTACAAGAGGTTTGAGCAGCCCATGGAAGCTGGATTTACCTGAACTGTCGAATTTTCAGTACTTATAACACTGACACAATCTCTGTTTTGGGCACAGGTAATTTCAGTTAGCACCTCTTGAGTACATTCATTCATAAAATTGCTGCTTTTGGAATTAATTTCTGAATAAGATTTCATGTAATTAATTGGCAAATTGGAGTTAATATTCCTACCAAAAGTTTCATGCATTCTTTAAAATATTCCCATCTTATTTTGCCTTCTCCATATGTTTTGCTCTTATCAACATTTTTTCAATATGAAATCATGAGATTTCTCCACTTGTGATTGCATTCTAAACTTGTAAATGCAAAACCTTCTTTGGATAACTTATCTGCTATTTTAGCCCAAAGCTTTGTTTTGATTAGAGGTTTTTGAAAGTCGTCTTCTAAATCTATTCTACTTCCTATTAACAGTTTTACTGCTGCATGGGTCCATTCTGCTACAAGCAAAAACAGGTATAAGACAAAAAAAAACAATTACGCCTATCAAACTCATTCAGCTAGACAAAAGTTAAAAATATATATATTTTTTTACCTGTTCGAAAATTTTCATAAGTTCTTTCATCAATATTTAAAAGAAAATTTCGATTATTTAGTTCAATTAAAACAGTAGAACAAGGCGCCGCAATCTTCGCTCGTTGTCTTAGCAAGAAGCTAGCGCTTCTCAACCTCGCTAACAAAATTTTGTAAGCGTTTTGAGATGGCGCTGCAAGCAAGCTAAAATATGGAACGAGTTTTAGCACTGCACTGACATCTTGCTGACGTCTCGCTAAATAACAAAATACGTGGTATATATAGATGTCTCCACCTACATTCCAATGTCCAGCCAGGCACACGGTATGATCTCGCTGTAAAGCACGAGTAAGACAATGCCCTGTCTGTCGTGGAGAGTTGAAAAATTACCACAACTTAACCTTAGAAAATCTTTCTGAAATTATAGCCCTGCTACGCGCCTACAGAGACAATGGATGTCTGGAAATTAATCTCTTTAACAACAGAAAACCCATAAACACTTGCCTGTTCAGAAGGTGCTCTTGTCCCTCTCTGGACAACACCTGAAAATGGGAAGGTGTCTATCAACAGGTGGTCCCACACGTGACAGAAAAACACCCACAAATTAAACCACGACACTGTTAGGATGGCCCTCATACCTCGTAAATTGGAAGTGACCCAACCTCTCACTTGGGTGGTCTGCCTTCATTGCTATCAGTGAGATTTTCTTATTCGAATTATTAAAACAGAAAACGTCAACGAAAACTCCTCTTTATATTTATAAAATATGAGCGCAAGTTCTGAAGTTCCATCAACACTTTCCATCCAGAGTTAATAAATGGTGTCAAGTAAATTCTTCAAAGCGGATCTTTCTCGTGACTCAAGCAGAAATCATGTTTTGCTTAGGCCCCTCGATGTGGGTTCCTGTCCATGGTGAGGAAACCTCCCAGAGATGGTTTAGTTACTCTTCCTTACCATCGCTGGGATCTGAATGCCCACCCACGTGTTTGCCATGCGTGGTATCCGTATGCTGGAAAGGGGAATCCTAATAGTTGAGGGGCAACATAACGTCCCCAACACACTGCTTTGGCCCCTGCTTCGGATAAACGGGAGGCTCATATCAGGCTCCGTTTGAGTCAATCGGCTGGTCGTTGAGTCATTCGTGACCTCGGCTTGGAGTCAACTGATCGATGCAGACCAGGCGGACACGTCAGTCTAGATGTGCTCTTCATGACTGCATTGTGAGGGTATAGCTCCTGAGAAACCCTGGTGTGACGGTCTATGGGAGCCTCCCATGTGACAGCATCCCCTTGTTGGGCCCCATGGTGGGTGGGGTCACTAGAAGCTGAATATTTTTCTTTAATTATGGATTCATAAAATTCAAAACATTAATGTGCACCAACAACATAAACAAATGAAAAAATTTCCAGTAATCCAGCGTACTTAGTAGTGCACGCAACCGGAAAGAAACCCTTGGCTAAAGCTTCTCCTTTCTTGATTCAAAAATTGTTTGAATTGACCATTGGACAATTCAAAAAAATACAAAAATTAAGATCAGGAGATTTACTGGTGGAAACAGCTTCCCCACAACAATCGGCAAAACTTCTGAAAACAAAGACCCTAGGAGAAATGAAAGTCACTGTCACTCCACATGTGAGCCTAAACTCATCACGTTGGGTAATATCTGAGATCGATCTGATATCTGAAGATAAATCAGATATTCAGATCGACCTTTCAGACCAAGAAGTCACTGCTGTCCGACGCATTTCCATTTGTCAAGACGGCAAGTTGATTCCCACCAAACATCTTATTTTGACATTTAATAAACCGACTTTGCCATCTGATATTACAGCAGGTTATCTGCGCTGCCCAGTTTGCCCATATGTTCCAAATCCACTGCATTGCTTTAAATGCCAGCAATTTAAACATTCACAAACAGCGTGCCGAGGAAAATGCATATGCACACAGTGTGGAACTGAAGGCCACCAGAGTACTGAGTGCTCCAGTAGTCCATGCTGTGTGAATTGCAAAGATGCCCATCCTGCCTACTCTTGAAAATGCCTAGCATGGCAGAGAGAGAAAGAGATCCAGCGAGTAAAAACCATTAACAACATACCATACCCAGAGGCTCGGCAAATGGTCACTCAAAGCACAGCAGTGAAACAGAAAACATTTGCTTCTGTGTTGAAATCCACAAAGTCATGTGGGGTTCAAACCGATATCTCTGTCTCCCCAAGCGAATCTCTTACTCGCCATGCGAAATGTTTAATACTCCCGTCTACACAAACACCAGAAAAGGAGATCACAAAAGGAAAAACACCCCTGCCTAAAACAGGGGTAATTACAAGAAACCTGGGTTCTAAAAAGGCTAATAAGAACCCACTAAACAAACAGAGAGTGAAAGCAGCTCTCTCTAAATCTAAAAAATCAGAGGCTCAGTCCATGAGTGAGTTCTCTGATATCTCTGATGAAGAGAATAATATGGAGGTAACCCAACCAACGTCACCTCCAAAAGGAAAATCATCAGTTAAACTGAAGAGGGACACTTTTTCTAAGAATGCTGCCTCAAACACATAATGGATTATAAAATAATCCAATGGAACTGTCGTGGTTTTCGCAAC